AATGGGAATTCACCCTTACAGATATTATTTTTTGTTATAGTGTCGTTAAATCTGTGTAACTAGTGAACTATCTTTTAAAAATGAGAGAATAGGTCTACAGGGAACGATCCTCTGTTTTAAAATATCGATTTCTAAAATATTAATTTTTCTGAGGGCAACGACGAGCGGATCACCTCTCGGTCATAACAATATATAATGTGTGTGTATATGTATATATAGTATGTATACATATATGCACATATATGTGTATATATATATATATATTATATAATGTGTATATGTATATATAGTATATATATATTTTTTTTAAAGCTTAGTAAAAAATAAAGAAAGTTTTAATACAGCCTAGTACATGACAAAGATGTAATGCATGTGTATGTAGTATGTAGTATACATTTATTATACATTTTTAAGTGCTTTGACGGGGTCGAATAACGATATATCTTTCCGTGCGTATTTAGGCTGCGTTTTGATATTCACTGCCATTACTGAAAATCTATAATATATGTGACATAAACTATATATTTCTAGTACTGGCAGTAAATATCGGAACGCAGCCTAAATACTGTACTGACATCATTTTTCGCTGCGTATGCGTATAAACGGGATCGCAACACTGTACCACATGGTTGTAAGATATTTTTCTTGCTAGAAGTGCGCGGCGACGAAATTGCGTCACTGTAACACGTTTGTAGCATTTGAAGTGCGAATAATAGAAATCGTTAGCGATTTAAAAGATAAAGAGAAAGAAAACGAGAAAACGCTTGAGGTATTTTTATTTTTATTTTGTTATACGTCACTGAGTATCGACTTTTAATATGTTTTTAACCTGTTCTTTTAGGTTATATGACAAAACTGCTTAACCTTATACTCTTTTAATCAACACTTTTTCACTCTTAATCAACTCTTATATTCCGAATCCTAGGATTTTTTAAATCTTTTATAAAGAAATCCCCAAAAATTGTGAAATTGTTTCGTAAATATATGAAATGAGAGTCGGATTTGAATCTGTTGTCTACCGGCTAGATATTATTAACAGGTCAATCTAAGCATTAAATTATATGCATTATCTTACGAAGCCTCTCCTTATTATTTGTAATTAGTTTTCTTACATAGATATATTGCGCTATACAAGAGCTATTTGTATATGTCCATAAATATTGACAAGAGATGACCAACAAACTCTTCTTATTATCAGAATGCTACAAACAGGTTATACTAATTTGTGGATTCCTTTTTCAGATGGATGAAGTATCGCCAAAAGCATATCCCCTGGCAGATCCTTCGCTGACTATAAAAATACTGAATCTGGTACAGCAAGCACTGAGCTATGGACAACTGAAGAAGGGAGCGAACGAGGCTACAAAGTCCCTGAATCGTGGCCTATCTGAATTCATAGTTATGGCAGCAGACACCCAGCCATTAGAAATATTGCTGCACCTGCCACTGCTATGCGAGGATAAAAATGTACCTTATGTCTTTGTACGAAGCAAGCAAGCTTTAGGACGAGCCTGTGGCGTCTCAAGGCCAGTGGTAGCTTGTTCGGTATTGATTAACGAGGGCTCGCAATTGAAACCTCAAATCAAAGCCATTCAGCAAGAAATTGAGAGGCTTTTAATCTAGATAAGACTTATATCTGTTATTTTTACATACCTCATTATTAATAACATATAATGTAAATCTTTATTGCTATTCTAAACATTTGAAATAAACAACTCCCTTTATGCTATATTTATAAGAAATGTATAAATTGCACGATCTCTTTTATGAATGAAATGTTTTGTACACAAATTAAGACAAATTTAAAACATTTAATAAAAAGAACAAAACAACATTTGCCTTCTAAATTTATAATAATTTATAGAGATGAAAAATTAAAAAATAATTTGGTAATAGGATCGTATTTAAGAATAGACCAATTCTATTCTATCCTAATTTAATAGTTGACATACTAACTTTAAAATATAATTTATATTTTTAAGAGAATTACTTTTACTCTTGTTTATTTTTGTAGTCTTGTAATCGGTTGCTGATTTCATCGAAATGGAGAAATTAAATAATAAATTATTAACATTGATTCGACAAATGTATCATGCGGAAAGAAATATGCTGTTCGTTGGATTGACAGATGTAATAAACTCGATGGAACGAAACTTAGTGGAACTCGTCATACTCGCCGAAAATATAACACATTTAATGTCACCATTGGATTTTTTAACACGCTTGATAAAGTTAGCAGAGGCGAAGAGAATTCCTTATGTTCACGCATATAAAAAAGAACAGCTCGGTCAAGCATGTTGTTTACCCATTGGTATAAGCGTCATTGCGATCAAGATTGGACCTTCTTATTTCTCGGAAAGAATTAAAGATATAAAAGATGCAACAAAAGTAACAAAAACATCAAACGAATCAAATGCAACTTTGTAATGTTATTGGTCTATTTTTTTACATAACTTGTTTATTTTTTTTACGTTACTGTTTCACATACAAAATTATATGAAAATTATTGTATAACATAACATTCTCAATAATCATATTTAATATAATATTAATAAAGGATATATTATCAAATATATTAATTGCACATTGATAATTGTACTTAAGAAGATGTTGATAGACGAACTGATAGACGAACTCTGACGTTCATACATATGTACATTTAAATATACATAGATACATTTATGTATACATATATTTCTGTGACACATATGAACCTAACCTTTTAAACTTCGCCTATTTTCGTACTTTTTCACTTATTTCTCCTAATAAGTTTTCAAATCATATTTTGAAGATCTCAAAATATTCTTAAATATTGCACAAATATGGGTAGGTAAGTTTTAAGAGATTTCTAAACTGACGAGCAACTCCGATGAAACGTCATACACATGCACATCTACATACATAAATATATTTATGTATACATACATACACTCATATTACACATTTCTGTACCCATGTATCATATGAACAAATTTTCAGGCACGCTAATCTTTTATATCATGTTTTCAAGCTTAATTGTAAAAACTTTATATTGTCCCTGCATGTAATTCGCACTTCCTACCGGTCTCATTTTGCACAAATAGGCTGCCAAATTTTTATATGAAGCAAATATTCGTACACGTTGACAGCTTTTAACTTTAAATTGGACTAAGAGTCGATAAAAAAGATCGAAATTTAAAAAATTTTCTCGGTATAAAATCGACCGGTATGACTTATATTGGTGCGTATACTTTAATTGTAGAAAAGGATTCTTAAATATGTAAATGTAATTAGGAAATTAGCGTGCTAGAAAATTAATTGATCGGTCGATAAAACAGGACCGACTTTAGGATCCCCTTAAGATCTATTTTACAATGTGTCAAAGTCGTGGTCGTGAACCGTAAGAATGAACCAATCACAAGTTCTCTTCACATTCGTCTGTGATTGGCCCACGACACTGACACAGACGCATTATAGAATTAAATACCTATTGTGAACCGAGACTAAAGTGGTATTTATAATAAGACTTTAAGACGTAAGACTTAAGAAATTGACCA